TTGAACCTAGGGTCTTGTACATGTTGGATAAGCATTCTGCCATGGACGTAGATCCCCAGACCTGTATTTGTTTCTTGTTTCATCATCATCCCTGTAGATCCTGTGATAGTTACCAAGGAGGTGAGAGTTCATTCTTACAAGGGAGTCTGTGCATCTCAGACATGATCCCAGAGGTGAAAGCTCGAAATTAGCTCTGGGAGACAACCCTTCCCAGCTGCTGACTGAACTTGGGTCTAGATAACTTCAGCCTACTTAGTACCTGTCTTGCCTCTGAGTGTAGCTCCTGAGCAGGAAGGAGGCTGGGCTCTTACAGAAGCCCATCCAAGTCCACACAGCTTAATAGTGGTGTGAGAAGGTTGTGTGTCTCATCCACTTCATACCTCAATTACAAACCTCAAAGGTAAAATAAGGTAAACAGAGCCTGCTAAGCTGAGCCCTGCCGAGGGAGGCACTGGAAGCGCTTAGCACAGCGTCTGACACAGATGGTAATTTGGATACCTCACGATGCCAGCTGTTTTGTAAAGTGTCCGTGGTCTGATGTCTAGGACAGCACACAACTAGACCTGGAATGCCAGGAGTTGCCGTATGATTAACATGGAGAGAAGGTGGCATCTGCACATTTGCTGACTGGTGAATAGTCAGTCCACAGAACAGCCCAAACCTGAAGATGGTGTGTAAATAGGCTAAGTTCCAGGGTCTCTGAGAGGAGTCTAGAGGAAAGACGCGAGTGATTAATGCTAATCCCAAGGATGGGAGGAGAGAGACCACAGACCCAAATCATCATGGCCAAATTAAAGCAAGATGTGTTATTTGTGTACACAGGCTGCCTCCCCCTATGGTGAAGTTCGGGAGATCAGCATTGGATGTGAGGTAGACAAGGCTTTTATAGCTCCAGGGTAGGGGGTTTCCAAATGGGGGACTTGGCTGGCAAAATAGGCCAGGTTGCAGGAAGGACATAAGCATAACAATTAGTTCCTCCTGAAACAAAGACCTGGTTGCATGGTGGACTTAATTAGGGAGTCATAACAAGGTACTCATGGGTGGTCGTATAAGCTTTTGAAATAAAGGTAGGGTTGCAAGATGGTTTTAAACAACTTTTGAAATGATGTGATTGCCATTCCTGGAACAGGTGGTACAGAACCATGTGTAGTTAAGGTGACAGGTGGGGCATAGCCCAATCCTTGAGAAACAGGTTTAATTATAAACAGGATTGAACCTAGTTTGTCTTCACTGTAAGATATCTTTTAAGCCTAAGATGGAGTCAGGCTGGTTCTTCAGTTAATATTTTGAGTTTTGATGGGCATGGGAAAAGACACCTTTCTGAATTCTTCTGGTAGACAAGGCAGGCGCTTGGCTGGCTGAGTGCTTGGGGTAGCCAGTGACTGTGGCTACCTCACACTTGGGGCTAAGGGGACTGGAAAACTGGAGGAGGTGGTGTTCCCACTGATTTGATTGCTGTTTTGTTTTGTTTTTTGTTTTTCCAGCAGATGAAATACCAGCTATGTGTCAAGTCCTCTGCGAGGCCTCAGGTACATAATGATGATGAGAGCAGACGTGCAATTTCTAAGCTCAGGAAGCATGTGTTTGGGCTCTAAAGAGGGCATTATGAACCCTAAACAGCCACACCTCTGTAGACTTGTGCAAAATAGAGGATGAAGGTTCAAAGGGAAAAAATAACAGAGGGCCTGACCTTGGTGGCCTTTGTGGTAGCATATAAAAGTTGAGGACAAGTGGTAAGCAAGGTGGAGGTGGTTCAGGCTGGAAAACAGCATATGCAAAGGAGCTCGGACCCACAGAAGGAACTACAAGAGCCTTGAGACAGACAGTGGTTAGCCATGAGCTTAGCAAGTTGTTAAAAAAAAAATCTGTAACTCGGAAGCTATGGGAAAGCCACTGAAGAACTTTAAAACTTTATTTTTCACCTTTATTTTTATGTGTTTAGTTGTTTTGCCTGTATTTACCTATGTGCACCGTGTGTGTGTGTGTGTGTGTGTGTGTGTGTGTGTGTGTGGGGTGAGTGTGTGTGTGTGTGTAATAACCTGCAGAAGCCAAAAGAGGGCACTGGATCCTCTGGAACTGGAGTAATAGACAGTTCTGAACCACCCACCATGTGAATTCTGGGAAATAACCAGGTCCCCTGGAAGAGCAACCAGTGCTCTTAACTGCTGGCTGAGCCATCTCTCCAGCCCCCTGGTGAACTTTAAATTGGGTAATGTCATGATCCCATGTGAAGTATTTTTTGCTTTAGGATTCTAAGCTCTCACACATTAATCACATTTGATTGCCATAGCAACTGTATAGAGATGATATCTCTGTCTTACACCCAGACCCAGTGGTCTCGAACAACTAGACTATATCACTCTACCCTTCCTTCTCCAACTGGCAGATGCCTATCTACACCCACACTGATGGAAGGAAGGTGATGTTACTTGTGGGAAATCCAAGGAACCTGATTTCTCTGCCCTATCTCTTAGCCCTCTTGGTGACAATATTGCTTCTTGAATCTCAGGTTTCTTGAAGTAGTCCAACCAGAAGGGAGAGACTCCTTTTAGTTGGAAAAACCTGCCCCTCCCTTTTCACCTGGGGCAGCACTAGCAATGAAAGAAATGTCCTACATGCCTGGGCCTGTCTAAGACTCCCTCTTCAAACCCAGTGAACAGGGTTCGTGCAGCAGGTCGAAGGCTTAGGCCGAGGATGTTTCATCAGGGAACAAAAGCATACAGGAGGTGGGACAGAGCTTGACTGCTGTTAAAGGCTAAGTAAAGAAGCCCATGCCCTGAGGGTAAACTGCCTGTCTTTTTTATTTTTATTTGTATTTTTTTTTCTCTGTGTAGCCTTGGCTGCCCTGGAACTCACTCTGTAGACCAGGTCGGCCTCAACTCACAGAGATCCACCTGTCTCTGCCTCCAGAGTGCTGGGGTTAAAGGTGTGTGGCACCACCACCTTTAACCCCAGCACTTATGTGCAGGAATTCCTTTCATTCACATGCCAAGCTTGCTTGGTAGATGGAACTCCTGTTTTACAGATGGAGAAACAAACTCCAGTGAGATCTTTCAGCTAGTAAGTTAGCTGGAATTAAAGCCCAGGTTTGGGAGATGCTAAAGCTTTTGTACTGTCTGTTGAACTCTAGTAACCAGAGAAGAGCCGACTTGTTCCACCCAGCAGCACCTCCACCTCAGTAATATCGAGATTTCCCCCTCCTGGGTTTACTTGGTAGAAATGCAGTTTACATTTTCATATGTACCTACACAACACACACACACACACACACACACACACACACACACACACACACACACACACATCAACGCTTTAAAATAAATCTTTTTAGTGAGGCAGTGGTGGTGCACACCTCTTATCCTAGCGCTGGGGAGGCAGAAGGAGGCAGACCTCTGAGTTTGAAGTCAGCCTGAACTACATAGCGGGTTCCAGGACATCCAGGGCTATTACACAGAGAAGCCCTGTCTCAAAAAAACAACAACAACAAAATCTTTTTTAAAAAATTAAAATAATGCTATCCGAAAGAGGGGGACAGGCATGCCTGCAATCCCCACACTTGGGAGGCTGAAGCAGGATTGCTGTAAATATGAGGCTGTCTTGGACTACATATTTCCAGGCCTGTCTGTGGTACAGAGTGAGACCTTGTCTCTGCAAGAGGACAAGGGGTAGTTCCTGCTGGGTCACAGTGGGATGTTCCTAGAGTCGTTTTAGTTGTGGCACCCATCAGTTGTCAACATGGCAGCCAGAGCCTGTGTCACTTCTGGCCATGGGTTTTCTTAGCAGAAAGTGACTATGAAACATGAATGCCATTCCTCTATAATGCAATTCCAGAAAATGTGAGGCCCCTGCTTTTGATAAAGATGCAGGCAGCAGGAGGAGAAAGAACTGAGCTGACCTGAAGGGATCCCCAGACACAATGCAGGAGGGACTTGTACTTCCATTTTGCAGTCTGGATGCCCTACTTTTTCAGATTGACCAGGGTCAAGTTGCTGGTCCCCAAAGATACCTGACCCCCTCCCCCCCCATATCAGCCACATAGCATCTCAGCCTGAGTGAGGAAAAGTTGGATCATGTCTGCTTCGGAACATGTCTGAGGACTGGTTGGGTGAGAGAGTCAGGGTGTTTGAGTGTCTCAAGGTCCACCGGACTGAGGCTACTTGGAGGTAGAGCTAGAGGGTTAGGCATCATATCAGAGGGTGGCTTAGGCACTATAGGTAGCTTGATGGCGACAGTGATAAGGTTTCTCCAAAGCCACCTCTATCAGCTGAAGGAGTCTCCTTGGAACTCTCCTCCGCCTTTGGTTGCAAGAGGTAAGTAAACCAAGGAGCTGCTAGCCTCAGGAGGACCTAGGTCACAGCAATCCTGTTGCCAACTGACATTTTAGGTAACTTCTCTCATATGTAACTATCTGTCTGTCTGTCATCTATCAATATATGGCAGTATATATCAGGGTTGATATGGTGGCACACTTCTGCAATCCCAGCATCCAGGAGGTGGAAGCAAGAGGATTTCAAGTTTGAGGTCTTCCTGAGCTACATAGTGAGACCTTGTCAAAAAAAAAAAAAAAAAGGAAGAAAGCAAGCTGGGCTGTGGCACACTCCTTTAATGCCGGCACTCGGGAGGCAGAGGCAGGTGGATCTCTCAGTTTGAGGCCAACCTGGACTACAAATGGAGTTTCAAGACAGCCAAGGCTACACAGAGAAATCTTGTCTCAACAAAACAAAACAAAACAAAACAGAGAGAGAGAGAGAGAGAAAACTTTTTAAAGAATTTTTCAAGTCAGGCGTTGGTGGCGCACGCCTTTAATCCCAGCACTCGGGAGGCAGAGACAGGCGGATCTTTGTGAGTTCAAGGCCAGCCTGGTCTCCAGAGTGAGTGCCAGGATAGGCTCCAAAGCTACACAGAGAAACCGTCTCGAAAAACCAAAAAAATTTTTTTCTTGATTTATTATTTGTTATTATTACTATTATTATTAATGTACTTGATAGAATGTGCAGAGTCAGAGAACAACTTTCTGGAGTCCATTGTTTCCAGGATAGAACTCAGGTCGCCAGACTTGTACAACAAGAGCTTTTCTTCATTGAGCCATCTTGCTGTTTCTTATGTTAGGTCCTAATGACTCCTCAGGGGCTAGGGACGGCTCAATGACAGAGTGTTTGCTTATCATGTTCCAGGCCCAGAGTTCAATCTCCAGCATTAGAACAAAATTTGGTATGCTCTCTACACTGACCCTCTTACAGTCACCCCACCTCTGAGAACATGAAAGCATGCTCACACACACATACCCTACCCAGGGAGATCCAGGCCTCCCAGGAATGTAAAGACTCTCAAAGGGACCAAGGCCTTTCCCCAAATTTGGCAAAGCTACATTTGTCAGAGTAAAAGAACAACAACAGAATCCTACTTGAGTGGCTTGTTTGGGTAGAAAAAGGAAAGAATGTTTCCTAATGTTTCAGTGGCACTGAAAAAAAATAAATAAATAAAAATGGCAGGGCCTTCTTTTCCTGCCTGCTATTCCCTTGGATTTCTCTGATGTCATTCATAGTGGCTAGAGTCAAATGGCTTCAAGCCTTTAATTGTTTGCTCTGATATACCATCAGCTCTGATCAGCCTTTCTGTTCTAGGCATTTTCCCCCCAGAGGTAGACATGCCTGATCATGAGACCACCGGCCTGATTAGCATTCACTGCCAGCTTCACGCAGCTCACTTGGTACCCCGAGCTTTCCAGAATGATCTGATCCATCTGCCCATGTACAAGACGTCCCAGCAAGGTAAAGCTGGTACAATTTGGGGGTATTCCTTCAGGCTGGTAGCCTAGCTCCACCTGTCCTTTTTCTAGGATGTATTTTCCATCCGTGATGGAGCCTGTTTGTACTTGCACTCTGTTCAGGTTCGCTGGGTGGTTCAGAATCATTGTCACATAGTTGCCTGTACTGACGTTGTAAGTCCAAAAGAAGGACTCGTCCAGAGTGTAGGCCTCCTGGGGGGAATGGACACCAGAGAACCTCATGTCTGTGAAAACAACTCCAGGCAGGACATCAGGACCACAAGGACCATTTTCCTGGGCCGTTAAGGTCTTGTTCTCAAAACTGAGGTGAGATAGCCTGTGGTAGAAGAGAAAAGGTCTACAGAAGATTACATTTTGCTGGTCCAGGAGGGTACGGAAATGAAGGATCAGCCATTCCAGGGGTCGCTCCTTGTGGAAGAGGAGGAGGAAATGGGCCAGAAGTGGAAGGTCCCTGCTGTGGAAAAGTTTGCCAAGGAAGCCCATATTAGAGAACTCGAGGAGTACCCATGTGTGGGGGATCCTGTTGATTACCTTTGAGCGAATGTGGGTGACAAAATTGGGGGCACAAAAGACATTGTCCTCTATCAACAGAAAATAAGTAGAGAGATTTGTGGCAAAGCTCATGAGGAAGGCGTGGTCTATGTTCTGCTTGGAGTAGATCTGCCCCTGAGAGAGCTCCTTCTGGTTGTCTGTCACAGTAGGGTAGGTATGAGATGGGGCATGGATCACTAGCAATTGCCCTGTCAAGATCTGGGAGCTGTAGAGGCTTGCAATATGGTGAACAGTTTTCCTGAGCCAGGTGGAGTCAGACTCTGCCAGGTGAACTAGCACTGTTAACTGCTTCTGCTCAGATGTGGAGGAGGCGTGGTACAGGGAAGCCAGGGTATCCAAGAGGCCACCCTGACCCTGTCGTGACACTGAGGAGATCCCCACTGTCAGCCAGGCTAAGAAGAGGTAAAACAGGGACAACTGTCAGTGTGTGCTGGCGGTGAGAGTGAACAAAAAGACTAAAGAAGCGAGGCATGGTGAGGCATGCCTGTAATCCAGTCTTAGTACGAGGGAAGCTGAGGCAGGAGGATCACGAGTTCAGTATGTGTTACATAGTATAGTGAGACCCTGTCTCAAATAAAATAAAATAAAAAAATAAACCTCGGGGTTATAGGGAATGGGGATGGAGAGGTGGCTCATCCTCTGTTCTTGCTAAGAACCAAAGTTTGGTTCCCTGCACCCATGTTAGGAGAATCACAGCAGCTATAACTTCAGCTCCCAGGATCCAACCCTCTTCTGGCCTCCATGGACACCCATCCACACACATGTGTATACACAATACACAACATAAATGAATCTTAAAGATTAGAGAATGTTATTTGGGGTATTTTTCTGTACTTGGCAGAGGGAATGTACATTCCTGCTACTTAAAAAAAAACTTTTAAAAAAGATTTATTTATTTTATTTTGTGTGCATTGGTGTTTTGCCTGCATGTATGCTTGTGTGAGAGTGTCAGGTCCCCTGGAACTGGAGTTATAGATGAATGTGAACTGCCATGTGTGTGCTGGGAATTGAATCCAGGACCTCTGGAAGAGCAGCCAGTGCTCTTATCTGCTGAGCCATCTTTCCAGACCCTTATTATTGCTACTCTTTTTTTTTAAAAGATTAATTTATAGATGGACAGTGGTGGCACATGCCTTATCCATCCTTTCTGAGTCTTTTTTTAAAACTTGAAGCTTGTGGATTAAGAACTTGATAAATATTAACTTTTTGTTATGGTTATTATAATTCTGCTTTTATCCTTTTATTCATTTCATCTTCCCAAAGGTCCCCTTTAACCCAGGTATTTGGGGGAAACTTTTTCTAAAAACCAGGAACCCATGTTTTTGTTTTGTTCTGCCTTTCAGGTGCTAAGGACTGAATGCCAGATTTCATACATTCTGTCTTGTTTGTTTTTTGCCAACGTGACACCAGCCAGAGTCACCTGGAAAAGGGCAATCTTAATTGGGAAAGTGTTTCCGTAAGTTTGGCCTGTAGGCAGGTTTGTGGGTCATTTTCTTGATTACTAACTGATGTGGGAGCGCTGAGCTCACTGCTGGCAGTGCCATCCCTGGGCAGGTGGTTGTGGAGTCTAGAAGAAAGCAAACTGAACAAACCAATAAACGGTGTTCCTGCAAGGCCTCCACACCAGCTCCTGCCTCCAGGTTCCTGCCAGAGTTTCTGTCTTGACTTCCTTGGGTGATGGACTGTTACCTGGAGGCATAAACTGATATAACCCTGTCTTCCCCAGGTTGCTTTATAAAGCTGAGATACACACTCTGGGAAAGCACTCAACCTACATTGTTCCATTTCCCCAACTGGGAGCCTGGGATTCTTACCCCGGTTCTGCCACTTCTGACTGTAGTGTTGGCCAAATCCTTTTAGCCCTGAGTTTAGTCCTAAAACACATGAAGCCAAAGGATTTGAGCTGTCTGCTCTAAAACCCTCCTGTCCCAAATGTTCTTTAATCTAGTGATTGCTCTTCTTTCTTTCTTTCTTTCTTTCTTTTCTTTTCTTTTTTTTTTTTTTTTTTTCGCGACGGGGTTTTTTTTTTTTTTTTTTGCCCGAGACAGGGTTTCTCTGTATTGCTTTGGAGCCTGTCCTGGAACTCACAGAGATCCTCCTGCCTCTGCCCCCAGATACTGGGATTAAAGTTTTGCACCACCACTGTCCAGCTTCTTTCATTTTTATATATTTTGTTTAATCAGACAATCTTAACCACACTTTTCTTTTAAACATTGTAACTGATCTCTCTTCCTTCTTACATAAATGCTGCAAAGCCACACAGTTTCTGGGCATGGTGGTACATACCTCTAATCCCAGCACCAAGGACATTGAGGTGAGGGATCTCAAGTCCAAAGCCAGCTTGAAATACTTAGTAAGGCGGAGTCCAGCCTAGGCTGCAATGGGAGACTCTTTATGAAAATAAATAAATAAATAGGCTGGTAGAGTGGAGAGATGGCTCAGTATTTAAGAAAGCTTGAGGCTATTTCAGAGTTCAGTTTTTAGCACCCAAGTCAGGCAGGTCACAACTACCTGCAACTCCAGCTCCTGGGGATCCATACTTATACCTATACCAAACATATACATACATATCCATATACTATATACCCATAAACAACAACAAAAAAACAATGGCTGGCGCCATCCCCCTCCAAAAAAAGGTCACCTAAGGTCTGGAGAGATGGCCTAGTGGTTAAGAGTGCCTACTAATCCACAGAGATGAGTTCAGTTCCTAGCACCTACCTGGTAGGTTTACAACTGCCTGTAGCTGCAGCTCCAGGGACTCTGATACCCTCTTCTGGCCTCTGTGGGTACTTGTATGTATGTACATATAGCCACAGACAGACACATGTCTTCACTTAATGGAAAATAAAACAAAAAGCATGGCACAATGGTGCATGCCTTCAATCCCAGCACTCAAGAAGCAGAGGCAGGTGGATCTCTATGAATTCAACCTGGTCTACACAGTGAGACTCTGTTTCAAAATCAATAAACAAAAAGCCACATGATTATCCATTCTGCATCTCCTCACCACCACCAAAAACCACATAACCATCATTCCTAGAGCATGATCATAATTGCAGATTGAAATGGAGTTATGCTCCTTGTTTAACCAATGTAAACATGTGTGGTATTGCAGAGGAGTGTATACACAATGTAATGTTTAGAAATGTTTCATAATAATATGTGGTCAACATATTGTACCCACCTATTCTAAAGGTTTTTTGTATGTGCACACACGCTATTGAACAAACTTTGTACATTCTGAATATGTATTACTCTTATTGGGTAATAAAGAGCTGACTGGCCAGTAGGTAGTCAGGAAAAGGTTAAGTGGACTTGCAGACAAAAAGACAGCACAGGGTAGAAGAGGGCAGGGTTATCAGAAGACAAAGAGAAGCAAGAGGAATATGCTGTGCTGAAAAAATGTACCACCATGTGGTAGATTATTGATAAAAACTATAGGTCAATTTAATTTATAAGAGCTTGTTAGTAACAAGCCTAAGCTATTGGCTGAGCATTTATAATTAATAATAAGTCTCTGTGTGGTTATTTCATGGCTGGCAGGACAGAGCTGACTGGTAGGACACAGAAAAGTCTGCCTGCTGGTGTGTGCATGCCTGCGTGTGTGTGTGTGTGTGTGTGTGTGTGTGTGTGTGTGTGTGTGTGTGTGTGTGTGTGATGCTGGGAACTGAACTCAGGTCCTCTGGAAGAACAGCAAGTGTCCCTAACCACTGAACTATCCCTTCACCCCCTGGTTCTGCCTATTAAAACAACTACCTTTCTCTGTTCTTTCCTATCATACCCCTGACTTGTCCATGTGCTGGGACTGGGGAGGGAGCTGTCATCCAGATCCAAGTGTCCCTGGATGCAGCTCCACCTTTCCTCCTGCTCTCTTCCCTCAGATGATCCTCCTCTCCCCAGGACACCCTCCTCCCTTACTGGTACTCACTCTTTCTTCTTTGGTGGACTTTTCCCAGATATTTGGAGGTGATGGTCTTCCAGTCTTCTAGAGATTTGGGGTTCTTCTTACGGTCATGCTTGATCACCTGGATCATTAACAAGGGATATGTATGTATGTATGTATGTATGTATGTATGTATGTATGTGCACACACATATCTCCTTTCATAAAACAACAGCCTTTATTTCTCTCTGCTTCCCATGCTCTGTTTTAGGGGAAGAGGTAAAGTGACTCTCTCTTTTAGAAGGAGTCCAGCACCAGTGCCTGGCCATGGGCCAAAAGATTCATGAGCTCTAGCAGTGTTTGCTTTCTCCCTTACCTTGAGAAAGGTGACAAATCAATGTAGCTAGTTTGTGGAATAGTGAGGAGATCCACACCCCAGCTCCACTCAGAGCCTCCAGCTCCCAAGTGGAAAGGATTAGAAGGAAAGGCCAGGTTCCTTGGGCAACCTGCCTGTCCTCACCCTTTCCCACTGTGCATTCCCAGTTTCCCAAAGAATAGTCATCACCTTTTGGATATCTTCAATTTCCTCAGGTACTTCCAGGATGATGAAGAACCACAGGAATATGATGGCCACAGAGAGTTTGAAGCATTTCCTGATGGACCATCGCATCATGTCTGCACTGGGATATGGTTTCTGCAGTAAGACGTCAGTATGTACAGCGAGAGAACTCTACTCTCCCTAACTGTAAGATTTTTTTTTTTTAATTTTTTTTGAGACAGGGTTTCTCTGTGTAGCTCTGTAGACCAGGCTGGCCTCGAGCTCACAGAGTTCTGCCTGCCTCTGCCTCCTGAGAGCTGGGATCAAAGGTGTGTGCCACCACCACCCAGCTCAGATCACAGATTTTTTTTTTTTCGAGCCAGGGTTTCTCTGTGGCTTTGGAGGCTGGAACTAGCTCTTGTAGACCAGGCTGGTCTCAAACTCACAATGATCCATCTGCCTCTGCCTCCCGAGTGCTGGGATTAAAGGTGTGCCACCACCAACGCCTGGCCAGATCACAGATTTTTAAAATACACTTGGGTGTATAGGCCTTAACTAGAACAGGACTTTTTAACAGAGTAAGTTCAGTGGGTTTTGAGTTATTGGAACACAGGCAGCTCGGCTCCAAGTGCCTGCATCTAGCCCTCTTGATATCTTTTCTGATTGCCTCTAAACTACAAGATAAATTTTCATATGCCTTGTCACCTGAGTTAGCCATTATTTTCCTGCATACTCAGGACACAATAAACTAGTCAAGTGATTTCTATGCTCCAAAGATTACTATGGCTCCAAAGGCCATAGTATTCCCCAATTGCCTTCATTCCCAGAGATGTCCTCCATCCTAGTGGGGTTTAAATTTTTAAACATTAGCAATCAATTAATTGCTAATAATTTTTCCTTTTTTTCTCTTTTATTTGGGGGAGGGATTGTGAGCCTATCCTTTAATAGCTGAGCTGTCTCTCCAGTCCAAATTTCCTTTTTAAAAATTATGCGTGTGGCCAGGCAGTGGTGGTGCATGCCTTTAATCCCAGCACTTGGGAGGCAGAGACAGGTGGATCTCTGTGAGTTTGAGGCCAGCCTGGTCTACTGAGTGAGTGCCAGGACAGGTTCCAAAGCCACACAAAGTAACCCTGTCTTGAAAAACAAAACAAACAAACAAACAAAAAACAAAAACAAATTGTGTGCTGGGACTGGAGAGATGACTCAGTGGTTAAGAACACTAGCTGGGCCCAGCAGTGGTGGCACACGCCAGCCCTCAGGAGGCAGAGGCAGGTGGATCTCTGTGAGTTCGAGGCCAGCCTCGTCTACAGAGCTAGTTCCAGGACAGACTCCAAAGCTACAGGGAAACCCTGTCTGGAAAAATAAAACAAAACAAAAGAACACTAGCTGGTCTTCCAGAGGTCCTGAGTTCAATTCCTGGCAACCACATGATGGCTCACAACCATCTGTAATGAGATCTGGTGCCCTCTTCTGACCTGTAGAGATACATATGGACAGGACACTGTATACATAGTAAATAAATATTTTTTTTAAAAAAATTATGTGTGTCTTGCCAGGTAGTGGTGGAGCATGCTTCTAATTCCAGCATTCGGGAGGTAGAGGCAGGTGGAGCTCTGTGAGTTCTAGGTCAGCTTGGTCTACAGAGAAGTTCCAGGACAGGCACCAAAGCTACAGAGAAACCCTGTCTAGGAAAACCAAAAAGAAAAAATAAAATTAGGTGTGTCTATGTCTATGCTTATGTAAGTGCAGTGCCCGTGAAGGGCAGAAGAGGGTGCTGGATCCCATAGAACTGGAGTTATAGGTGGTTGTGAGCTGCCTGCTCTGGGTACTAGAAACTGAACTCAGGTCCTCTGTAAATAGCATCAGGTCCTCTGCTAAGCCTTCCCTCCAGCCCTGGGTTTGTTGATAATAGTTATAAAAAACAATACTTTTTTTGTTTGTTTGTTTGGTTTTTCGAGACAGGGTTTCTCTGTATTGCTTTGGAGGTTGTCCTGGAACTCACTCTGTAGAACAGGCTGGCCTTGAACTCACAGAGATCCTCCTGCCTCTGCCTCCCCAGTGCTGGGACTAAAGGTGTAAGCCACCAACCCCCGGCTAATAATAAGGCTTTATAGATAAAAATTTTTCTTACCTGTTTTCCTTAAGACTTTTTGTCACATGGGCGATTCCCTTTTGAACTTCTATGTAAGAGACACAGATGACCCAGGCTTCTCTAGACCATATACACATGGGCAAGTATACTTAATGAAAAGGCCAAATAATTATAGTTAAAGGACTTTACCACGATAGACATAGCTCAGTTCTCTTCTGTCCTTCCTGTGACCTTGGTAGGCAGCAGGGAATTCTGTTCTTATTGAACAGGCCAACGGTCTTCTGGAAAAGGCAGGACTAAGACTATGAGGAGCTGGAGAGTTGCTACTCTGTGAGTCGGGGAGTGACCTGAGGTCTCTGATGTTCCCTCCCCTCCAGCTCAGCTCCCTCTGTGATGCTACTATTATGTCTCAGGCCCTCACTCATGGCATCAGAGGGGCACAGGGACAGGGTTTACAGGTGATGTGTGCTTCATAATCTCTGACTAGCAATTATTATTTGTGCTATACCCAGCTGCTGTTCTGCACCTTTTAACAGAGAGAATAGATGTAGAGAACAACCAAGCCTGCCCATCACATACTGCTTCCCTGATCCTTTCACTGACCTCTCACTCCCTCTCACATTCCTTGTATGGTTTCTTCTTCTGTTATCTTGCTGCAGAAGTCAAAAAAGAAAATGCCTCCCTTGAATTCATGTTTCAAGTTCTGTCCCACTTCTCTGAAATGTTTTTTTGTTTGTTTGTTTGTTTTGGTTTTTTGAGACAAGGTTTCTCTGTGGCTTTGGAGGCTATCCTGGAGCTAGCTCTTGTAGACCAGGCTAGTTTCGAACTCACAGAAATCTGCCTGCCTCTGCCTCCTGAGGGTGGGATTAAAGGCGTGCGCCACCAATGCCCAGCTCTTCTCTAATATTTTATACAGCAAGTCCTTAACAGTGTGGACTTTAGGCAACTCCATTTTCTTTCTCAACATACCTACTCTTTGACTCCATCTAGAACCCAGGATTTTGTTCTGACACCAGGATTCCCCATTGACTGTTCCTTCTCAGCTCTCTCCCTGGCTTCATCCTTTTCTAATCTATCAACTCACATGGTCTCAAAGCTTTCTCTCTCCCTCCATATTCTCTTTGGCTAACCCCAGACCTAGGCATGTGTGTGTGTGTGTGTGTGTGTGTGTGTGTGTGTGTGTGTGTGTGTGTGTAAATATACACACCCAAGTTCCAGGTCACCTACTTGAGGTGTCTGCTTGGATAAATAAGAATCATTTCAAGGCCGGGCGTTGGTGGCACACACCTTTAATCCCAGCACTCGGGAGGCAGAGGCAGGTGGATCTCTGAGTTGGAGGCCAGACTTGTCTCCAGAGCGAGTGCCAGTATAGGCTCCAAAGCTACACAGAGAAACCCAGTCTCGAAAAACCAAAAAAAAGAGAATCATTTCACTACCCGAAACAAAATGTAACATGAGATCTCTCTCCTCCAGACTACCATTTCTTCATTCTTTGCATCACAGTAAATCACACCACCACCTTTTATGTAATTTATTTGGGGGGGGGCAGGGAGTACAGGGGCTATTTTTTTTTCTGTTGTTTTTTGTTTTGTATTTTTGGTTTTTCATGACAGGGTTTCTTTGTGGCTTTGGAGGCTGTCCTGGCACTAACTCTTGTAGACCAGGCTGGTCTTGAACTCCCAGAGTGCTGGGACTAAAGGTGTGTGCCACCACTGCCTGGCCCAGGGGCTACCTTTGATGCCTTTTCTCTTCTCACCACTCCACATCCAATCTGTTTACTCTTGTTACTATGTCCTCAATTTTTTTTTTTTACCTAGAATATGATCCCTTTTCAACGTCTGCTAGGACTATAATTAGTAGTCATCTATTTAACTTGTACAGCTCCAAACTGAACCCCGGTTCTTCTGGAGTCTACCCTCTACTTCCCAGCCAGAGACACCTTTTAAAATTACAAATCAAACTGGGTGTGGTGGCACATGCCTTTAATCCAGCACTCAGGAGGTAGAGTAAGGTGGATCTCTGATGGGGAATGTACTACTGTGTATGTTTATCTTATTGATTGTTAAATAAAATACTGTTTGGCCAATGAGACAGCAAGTTAGATGGGACTGGAAGTCAAAGAGGATTCTGGGCATGTGTTAGAGAAGTGATGATCCAGGCAGGAAGTGACATAGCAAGGAGACTCATATTTAAGCAAAGGAGAAACAGGAAGGGCCCTCTTTCTGGTTCGCCTCCTCCAGTGGTACAATGTGATCCACCGACAAGGAGGGACGCCAATAAGGCGTCCGATAAGATAAGTCTTATTAAATATATAGGTTTACGATAGTTAAGACTGAGCTAACAGATGAGAGGTCCTAGTCATTGGCCAAGCAGCATTGTACCTAATACAAGTTTCTGTGTATTCATTTGGGCTTAACTCGGGTGGGCGGCTGGCGTAAAGCACACACGTGGCGGTGGGGCTCTCGGCAGCTTTTGACAGAAAGATTTATCGTAACAGATCTCTATGAGTTTGAAGCCAACCCAGTCAACATATTGTGGTCTAGGACAATCAGGTTTACACTGTGAGACCTTATCTCAAAACAATACAAACAAAATGCAAACAAAGAAAACCAACAAACCAAACAAATACCCCCAAATTAAAAACTATAAATCAAGGGACTGGAGAGTTGGCTTAATGGTTATGATCACTTGCTGGTCTTCAGAGAACCCAGGTGTGACTTATAGAATCCACACGGTGGCTCACAACAGTCTTCAACTCCAATTTCAGGGGATCTGATGCTCTCTTCTGACCTCCACATGCATACAGACATGTAGGCAAAAAACTTAATCACATAAGATACTTTTTAAAAATTAAAATTATAAATAACATCTTGTAGGGTACATAAAAAGATCCTGTCAGTCAGGTGGTGGTGGCTCATGACTTTAGTCCCAGCATTCAGGAGGCAAAGGCAAGCGGATCTCTCTGAGTTCCAGACCAGTGTGGTCTACAAGAGCTAGTTCCAGGACAAACAAACAAACAAACAAAATAAATGATAACAAATAA